TCACCCCTCGCATCCTATTGTCTCCTTTCTAAGAGTGTCTGGACTCCGGCCCTGTCATCCTTGGCCCCTGTGGTCTCTTTCCTGGGATGTCTGTGATGCTTGATCAATACCTGGGAATGCTCTCCTCCCCCATGAAGCAGAGGTCTTGTGCTCTGACATCACACATGGTGTGGGCTGCTCTGGGCAGTACCCCTCCTCTCTCCCTGGGAGTGGACTTAGCCCAGCTGCAGGTTGGAGACAGACCACACAACCTGAGGAAGTTTCAGTGTGGGGAGAAATAAACCTGATCCTTTGTAGTTTGTGGCTGAAGTAATGCACCTACCAGGACCTATTTGCCTGGAATCACAGCTGTGCTGACCTCTCACCTTCCATGAATCCACCCCAGTTGGTGTTCAGTGATGAGACTTAGTCTATGTGCCTTTCAGCAAATGACCAGCTCTCCTCCCAAACACCATCCAGTTTCCCAAATCCAGCTCACTCCTTGGTAATAAATCTGTTTGCTGCTCTTCTCACTGTGAATTTTAAGCCCTTCTAAACGCTTTGGGAATTCCAAATCCCAAAGAAAGGCAATGCCAAAGAATGCGCAAACTACTGCACAACTGCATTCATCTCACACACTAGCAAAGTAATGCTCAAAATTCTCCAAGCCAGGCTTCAACAGTACATGAAACATGAACTTCCAGATGTTCAAGCTGGATTTAGAAAAGACAGAGGAACCAGAGATCAAATTGCCAACATCCGCTGGATCATCAAAACAGCGAGAGACCTCCAGAAAAATAGCCACTTCTGCTTTATTGACTATGCTTAAGCCTTTGATTGTGTGGATCACAACAAACTGTGGAAAATTCTTAAAGTGATGGGAATACCAGACCACTTGATCTGCCTCTTGAGAAATCTGTATGCAGGTCAGGAAGCAACAATTAGAACTGGACATGGAACAACAGACTGGTTCCAAATAGGAAAAGGAGTACATCAAGGCTGTATATTGTCACCCTGCTTATTTAAATTTTATTCAGAGTATATCATTCTGCATATACTGGGCTGGGCTGGATGAAACACAAACTAGAATCAAGATTTCAGGGAGAAATATCAATAACCTCAGATATGCAGATGACACCACCCTTATGGCAGAAAGTGAAGAAGAACCAAAGAGCATCTTGATCAAAGTGGAAGAGGAGAGTGAAAAGCTGGCTTAAAACTCAGCATTCAGAAAACTAAGATCATGGCATCTGGTCCCATCGATTCATGGCAAATAGAAGGGGAAAGAATGGAAACGGTGACAGACTTTATTTTTGGGAGGCTCCAAAATCACTGCAGATGGTGACTGCAGCCATGAAATTAAAAGATGCTTGATCCTTGGAAGAAAAGTTATGACCAACCTAGATAGCATATTAAAAAAGCAGAGACATTACTTTGCCAACAAATGTCCGTCTAGTCAAAGCTATGGTTTTTCCAGTAGTCATGTATGAATATGAGAGTTGGATTGTAAAGAAAGCTGAGCACCAAAGAATTGATGCTTTTGAACTGTTGTGTTGGAGAAGGCTCTTGAGAGTCCCTTGGACAGAAAGGAGATCCAACCAGTCCATCCTAAAGGAGATCAGTCCTGAGTATTCATTGGAAGGACTGATGCTGCAGCTGAAACTCCAATACTTTGGCCACCTGATGCAAAGAACTGACTCCCTGGAAAAGACCCTGATGCTGGAAAACATGGAGGGCAGGAAGAGAAAGGGGCGACAGAGGGTGAGATGGTTGGATGGCATCACCGACTCAATGGACATGGGTTTGAGCAAGCTCCAGGAGTTGGTGATAGACAGGGAGGCCTGGTGTGCTGCAGTCCATGGGGTCGCAAGGAGTCAGACACGACTGAGCGACTGAAATGAACTGACCTGTAACCTAATTTTACTGTTGTTGTTGTGCCTCTCAGTCATGTCCAGCTCTTGGCAACTCCATGGACTGCAGCACACCAGGCTTCCCTGTCCTTCATGGTCTCCCGGAGTTTGCTCAGATCCATGGCCATTGAGTAGATGATACCACCCAACCATTTCATCCTCTGCTTCCCCTTTTTCTCCTGCCTTCAATCTTTCTAAGCATCAGGGTCTTATCCAATGGCTCTTCCCATCAGGTGGCCAAAGTATTGGAGCTTCAGCTTCACCATCAGTCCTTCTGATGAATATTCAGGGTTGATTTCCTGTAACCTCATTGTAGAGCATGAACTCAGAGGTGTCATTTAAATGGATGTACCACCTGGGCGAGAACAGCCAGAGTTTCATTCTGGCTTCGTCCCAAGCCCTTTGAGACATCCCCCAAGGGGCAGCGACCTGCAGGGTGACCGGGAACCCACCAGGGGCGGGGGAGTTGGCCAGCGCTCAGATCCTGGATTCTCCGCGGACATGCCAGGTGGACTTAGATGAGCTGCAGAGGGGTCTGAGCCCCTGTGGCCTCCATAGCAGCTCCTAAGAAGGTGGGCGGGAGAGCAGGGAGATGGCGCCTGCCGCACTCACAGCCCTGTGCCTGGCACGCAGTGCGCCTGCTTAACAAATGTTCAGTGTGGTACCCCGCCACGGTTGGGCAGCTGATAATTTTTCCTCTTTCTGCATCTACATCTGCTCCCCTGCAGCTTCCTTCCATCTGTCTTGCTCCAGTCCCCACGGCCGCTCAGGAGGCCCGTTCCCCCCTCACATGACAGCCCGTCAGCGATGCCGTGAGACCGGCCTTGTCTTCCTCCAGATCTTCGCCAGCCTCCCTGCAGGGACCCGATCCCCCGTCAGCCGCATCTCTGCTGGAGTCTTTGTCGAGTGCCTGGTGCTGTTACGCGGCTGCCAACAATGCTGGACCCTTCTTATCACCGTTCAGGCTGACTCGGAGTCAGCACTCAGCTCCCAGCTCCCCTGGAAGACGTTATTTCCCCTGAGAAATGTCTCTGCACCTTTAAAAGGTAATCCTATTATTTTTTTTCTAATTTGTTGTGAGCCCCAGAGCTCCTAGTGAACTGCAGAATACCAAAACCTGTTTTTTTGAGGGGAATAACATATTTTAGTCAATAAATCAGAAATAGATCCTTTCAGTGAGATGCCAATGCTGGGCTGTGGGAGAGAGAGGCTTGGGCATAAATTTCTCCTTGGGGACTGTCTCTCCCGTCACCAGGCGCTGAAGACAGCATCCTTGTCAGACACGCATCCTTCCCGGGGACGGCAGTGACTTCAGTTATCTGGATGTGGACCTGAGACATGCCAAGTCCTCCCCGAGTTTTCCAGTGTTAGTCACTACAGCGGCTGCTCTGCGTGTGCTGAGCCCTCCAGGGACGATCCTGCTGCCTCCTGCGTGGCCCCGGGGTCATCATGGGCACTCACGGCCACACGTGGAGTCGCTCAGTCTGCACAGCAGGAGCACTTCTGCTCCATCGGACGGTCGGTGCTGGCCGAGCTCTCCCAGCCTCCATCGTGGTCCCACTCCTGCCTCCTCTCCACTGCAGAGCCCCTCCTCACCTTCCCAGCTTCTGGAGGTCCCCTCCTCTCCACCTCCTGCTTCCATGAAGCAGATCATCCTGAAGGAGGACTTTAGTGTCCAGGAGGGTCTGAGGATGAGATCCACACAAACACGCATCTCTTCTTTTGGCAGTGAGATAGCATCACCCTCCTGCAAACCTCAACACACACACGATCTCGTGTGAAGCTGTTTCCACAAAGAGCGGGGGACTTACCCCACAGCCCTATGAGACACAGATGGCTCTTTTCAAATGAGAATTCTGAGACTTGGGGAATTTGAAGACTTGCCTAAGGTCACACATCGAGTTTGTGGCAGGATTCAAAAGCGACTCTGTCGGTCCAGATTCTCACAGGCTGGTCCACACTGATTCTAGGCACGAGGGCTCACCAGTATTCAGAACCCACCAACCTCTTCCTCCCCCACCGCAGATGTCATAAACACAGGTCAGCAGGTGTTAGGGTGTAATTTCCCAATCATGGACAATGGTGGACAGAGAATTCTAACCTGGAGGCTCCGGCTCCCAGTTCAGATCAGAGCCCTTTCAGCAAGACACAGTCACTGTGAGTGGGCAGCAGACGTCCCCTTATCAGCCCACGAACACACACACTTCTGAGCAAGTCCTGGGCACCAGGTACTACGTGGGGCAGTAGCACCCACTGACCCCCGACTTGGGCAGGCACGGGGTCTCCATGGGGGTGATGACAGGGGGCGAGTCAGAGGGAGAAACTGACCTCGTGGGTGGAGACTGCTTGCTGAGTCCCTGGGTGGACTGGATTATTTTTTTTTCTTTTTCTCAGCACACACACACAGCTGTCTCTTCCAAACATCCTGATAAACACTTTACAAACTAGTGTATGACCCCTTGGTGTGGTGAGAGGGCTCTCCTTACCCCTTTGTGGATGAGCTGAGCTTCCAGCAGGTTCTAGGCCATGGGGCGGCAGACACACAGGCAGGGGTCCCGCTCTCCTCCCCAGAAGCCTGTGCAGCGGTGCTGCCTCGGGGCTTCCCGCTAAGCACCAGGACCACGCATGATGGTGACAGTCGACCACGCATCACCTGGACCCCGCTTCCTCCTGAGCCGCGAGCCTTGGAGCTCCCAGTCCTGCCCACGTTCCACCAGCTTCAGCACTTTGCCTGTGGACAGGGACAGCCGACCACAGCCACAGAAACACTGCCTTCACCCCCGCTCAGGAAACGCTCGTCATGCGTGCAGCCCGCGGGGTCCTGGGGACAGACTGGGGGTCAGCCATGCAGAAAGGGCAGGGGCGGCCTCGCAGACACCAGCGTGAGTGAGAGATGGAGGAAGAGGGCCCGAAACAGCCAGCTGAGGCAGGAGGGAGTGGGGGGTCCTCCCTGCCGGCAGCCCCTCCCTCCCTGGGCTGTGGTGAGTGGGGGTGCGGAGCAGGAGCCGGCTCCCGGCTGTCAACACAAGGGCTTTGACAAGACTGGTTCTGACAGCCCCAGAGCGCCGCAAACATTCGGCTCCGTGCCTATTTATAGCTCCGCGCCTCTCGTCACCCAGAAACAGGGGAGACGAAGCAGAGCCATTCAGCAAGAGGCTTGGGCAGCCTGGTTGCGGGGGACGCATCATCCAGGCGAGGGACCACCGCGTGGGCACCGGGGCCCTTGAGGTCTCCCCCTGGATGGGAAGCCAGCTGGGGCCCCCGCTCTGGAACCCAGAGAGCCCCAGGCACCTGGGAGCAGGTGCAGAGCCAGCACTGAGCTCATCCAGGCAGGTACCCGCCTCATCCCTGCGGATCATGGTGGAGGGGGTGGGTACTGACAACGTCTGGAAGCTTGGGTCCCACCCCCAAAGCTTCTGCATTTGTGGATCTGCACTCTGGCCTGAGCATCAGGGTATTTTCAACTTCCTACATGACTCAGCTAATCAGAATGTCAGGGGACCTGGAGACAGAACATGTGGTTTAGAGCAGAGGCTTTTTCTACCTTTGAGCCTCAGTTTTCCTCTCTGCACAGTAACAGCTCGGACTACGTGATCCACAATTTACTTGTTTGCCTTAGAGCTTCTCCACGGTTTAAAAGCCACCATCCTCCAATTTGTAACTCTTGCACTCACTGCTGGGGAAGGGAATACTCAGCATGGAAAGCCGGCCTGGAAGAGCTCAGCTTTCTGGTTCCCGGGCCAGTGGTACCCCCTTCCTCACCCTGCAGGCCAGGGACCACCTGACTGCCAGTCAGAGGGTGGCCCGATCCATCCTGGGAAGCAGTGACGCCGTTACAGGCTTGGGCAGAGATGTGTTGATGCAGTAAGTCAGTCTGAAGGATCTCCCCGCGAGATCTCAGGTGGTGTGTTTTGTCTGAATTGCCGCGTGCTGCTGATTAGGGAATTCGCTGCTTCGCTCCCTGGCGCCTAAGCCACTCTCAGAGTCTATTATCCATCATCGTTTCTATCCTGAGTGGGGCCTCTCTGTCTTGAGAGAAGAAAGGAGCCTCACGGAGGAGTGAAGAGACTGCTCTCGTGTGATAAGCTTACAGAGATGAAAGGGGCCAAAACACCGGGAGGACCAGGAGGAGGGGGAGCAGCCAGCCCCACGTGTCCCCCTCCCCCGCGGCCTCCCGAGCACCCCCTGCCTCCAGCACCTTCCCTTCCAGCGTGCTTGCGCAGTCCCCAGAGGCGTTTCTGGAAGATTACACATCGTGGCCTTCAACCCCTCCTCCAAATGGTGCGTCGTGCCTTCCCCCAAGACCCTCGGCTGGGCCGCTGAGACCTGCATCTCCGCCCTTCATCTGTGGTCCATGACACCTCCGCCTCCTCTGGGGGCTCCCAGGCCCCCCAGGCTGTGCGGGTGCAGGACGCCCTGGGAAGCCTCCAGCCCTCACTGTGGGCCAGGGCATCTCTAGGCTGGTCCCCGCATCAGGGTCTCTGGGCGTCAAAGTCCCATGCGCGCTGGGCCCCCTGACGCCATCCGAGGACCTGCCTCTGCTGGGTCTGGGCACGGCTCCGCATCGCAATGCTCAATAGTGGAGGGCTATTCTAGAAGGCCCTTCCCCTGCTTCTTTGGCTGGTGGCCCTGCTAGTCCTCCAGTGCATGTCAAGCCCCAGGGACTTGTGTGTCCTTCTTCTCCTCCCTCCCTCCTTCCCCTGCTCCCTCTCCCCTTAGTGCGGGGATGATTCCTCATGTCTCTAGCTCCAGGAAAACAGCAGTGTGCCTCTGCAGCTCTGGTCCCCGCTGGCCCACCGTGAGCCTGTCCCCCGAGTGAAGACCCAAGCAGTGTCAGGTCTGACAAGGCACACCAGCCCTCGTAGATCTGAAGATGTGTCTGTCTCTCTAGAATGCTGCTCAGTCTCTCAGATGTGTCCAACTCTGCGATCCCACAGACTGTGGCGCACCAGGCTTTTCTGTCCTCCACCGTCTCCTGGAGTTTGCTCAAACTCATGTCCGATGAGTTGGAGATGCCATCCTCACAATCTCATCCTCTGCCGTCCCCTTCTCCTCCCACCCTCAGTCTTTCCCAGCATCAGGGTCTTTTCCAGTGAGTCGGCTCTTTGCATCAGCTGGAAAAAGTATTGGAGCTTTGGCTTCAACGCCAGTCCTTCCAATGAATATTCAGTTTATTTCCTTTAGGGTTGACCGGTTTGATCTTGCCCTCCAAGGGACTCTCAAGAGTCTTCTCCAGCGCCACAGTTTGAAAGCACTGATTCTTCAGCGCTCGGCCTTCTTTATGTTGCAGCGCTCACAGCCATCCATACATGAGTACTGGGGAAACTGTAGCTTTGACTACATGGACCTTTGCTGGCAAAGTGATGTCTCTGCTTTCTAATACACTGCCTAGGTTTGTCATAGCTTTTGTTCCAAGGAGCAAGTGTCTTTAGAATGGGAGACCCCAAATCCACATCATCTAACTCTGAGGATGATCTTCTTGCTCAGATAGAGCTCCCCTTTGATGTTTTGTAGCTTCAGCCCTGAAACACAGGGTTAGTTCTGCTGCTCTGCCTAACAGGCACTAAGAGAAGGGAGAAAGGGGCAAAGCAACATGGTCTATGCATTATACGTCTTAAGCATGCTTTCCTCCCAAGTACCGCAGACTTCTGCCATCCTTGTTTCTTCACCACATTATGTGACCACAGTTGATGAGTATAACTTTCTTCCTCCATTACCCTTGAAGGAGGCAGCTTTCCACAACTTCAGGAAATGCCTGGATAGTGGCGGAGGTGGGTAGTGAGGATGCTGAGTTTACGGCAGAATCCAGCTGGGGAGTAATTGAGCCCGTGGGGAGGCACAGGGTTCGGGGAAGGAAGACAGGTTTGGTTGGGATGAGAGGGAGCACTAAAGCCTTCAAGGCAGAGAGAACAGCCAGCCAGACTCCTGCAGATCCACCTCTACCAACACAGAGCACCAGACTTGGGCTGGAGAACAGGCTGCCAGAACAACAAGCTTCCAAAGGCTGGTGAGGAAGCAGCTGAAGGTTGATTCAGTTACTGGAGTGTCTGTCCCAGTTTCAGACTCAGAAACGTGTATGAACCGTCCTCCCTGACTTTGAAGATTTCTGGGAGGGACAGCACAGACCTCCCACGCAGGGTGCCCCATCTCGTCTCCCCTCTTTCAAGTTCCTGCTAACAAGAAGCCTGCTTCCCCATCACGTTTTTTCATTTTACGCAAGTAAACATCCTCTAATTGAAACTCCTGGGCATTTAACAGTATTTATAACTCCATGAATTAAAAGCCTCATGGAACTCCAGTTCCATCTCATAACTGGTGATTCCCGGACTGCTCCCTAATTATTTGGGAGATGTTGTGTAGCATCACTAATTATAAGGTTGAATTAAAACGAAGAGATCGGAGTTGCCATTTCAAAGAGAGTAGAACAGACCAGCACATTTGGACTTCAAAGTTTCCTCTCAAGAGGAGAACTATCCAGGAAGCTTCCGAAACTAAACTTCTAAATTTCCAGCAAACCAGCAAGAGCTGTTGTGTTGGAATTCTGCCATATGGCCCTTGTAACATGATCTAGCATCATCTCTATTATTTAATCTACAACAGCTCCCACACAGAAACCCCTTCCTCCACCTGTGAGGCCTCCTTCTCCCTGGAATTTGAGGAAGACGGGTGCTCACAGGCTCTTCTATGGGTAAGAACCACACTAAAGTGAAAGTGAAAGTTTTAATAGCTCAGTTGTGCCTGATTCTTTGTGACCCTGTGGACTGTAGCCCGCCAGGCTTCTCTATCCATGGAATTCTCTGGGCAAGAGAACTGGAGTGGTTTGCCATTCCCTTCTCCAGGGGATCTTCTCAACTCAGGGATCAAACCTGTATCTTCTGCATTGCAGGCAGATTCTTTACCACTGCGCCACCAGGAAAGCCCATAAAAACCATAAAAGTGCTGCAAAAATTTAAGCAGCAACTAAAATTTGCACCCCCCCAACTCCCACCCCTGCTCGAATCTTCTGATGGGTAGGGCATTGAGTGGGGGCCAGAGAAGCTGCCTAGGCAGACCTGACGCGCCCCCCAGGCACAGACCCTTTTAAGTGACACTGACTCAGATTACCCCTCCGTGTGTCGTGTTGGCCGTGGGCACAGACACTGTGCTGCGGGCACGGCTCCGTGTCCACCTCGGGCTGGAAAGAGGCAGGAAGGGTGGCGATGAATGTTCGGAGACAGAAAGGCCTGGCTGCGGTGCCGTGCTTGCTCTTCCGCCAGGGCCACGTGGTCTCAGCTCGTGCTCTCTGCCCCCTTAGCAGACAGATGTCTGTCTCCCTGCCAGAGCTATTTGTGTCCCTGCAGTGCACCCACAGCGGCCCAGAAGCCTTCAGAGGGCTGCCTGTGGCCCTGCACGGACCCTCCTGCAGGCTCTCTCCGCTCGCCCTGCTGTCAGAGCTGCTGCTGCCCGGCCTGCCACCTTGACCTGTGATTGAAATCTCCGCTCCGTGACCGGCTTCTGGTTCAGTAGCCTGGAGAGCTGCCCCGGGTGTTAGGACTTGGCTGGGCTCTGGCCCCAGCACGGCTTCTAACAGGACCTGGGTGGTAACCTCCGGCTTGGCCCACAGCAAGTGAGAGGCTCCCTTTCAGAAGTTGGCACTGCAGCTGCCAGGCCTGAGCACGCCCCCTCCCTCTGTGGAGGGTGCAGTAGGGCCTTCACCTCCTTCTGCTTAAAGATCAGCAGGATAATCCTAAAACTTTAAAAATACGTAAAAGAAAATCGTGGGGCTTCCTTGGTGGTTCAGACAGTAAAGAGTCTGCCTGCAGTGCAGGAGGCCTGGGTTTGATCCCTGGGCCGGGAGGGCCCCCTGGAGAAGGGAAAGGCTCCCCACTCCAGGATTCTGGCCTGGAGAATCCCATGGACTGTATAGTCCTTGGAGTCACAAAGAGTCAGACACGACTGAGTGACTGTCACTTCACCTGGACACCGAGTGGGCATCATCACCATGATGGAGCGGGCTGCGGGCTGGCACACACCACTGTGTCAGCACTGGACCCTGCTGGCCCCAGGGGCGGGGAGGAGAGGACTCCCCAGCCCCGACACACACACTTACAACATCTCATTAAGGCGGGAAGGCAGTGTCCCTCTGCCCCTGCCCCTATGGGGAGTCAGAGCGCTGGCCGGCTCCACTGGGTGGATTGGGGATGGGTGGGCTGGAAGATAGGCTCTCCACTCCTTCAGCCCCACAGAAACTGCAGAGTGTGTGTGTGCATTTGTGTGTGTGTGTCTA